ATGGGAAGGGGAAACAAAGAAGGAGGCTACAATGCTTGATAAGAAATGTACTCATTATCTTGCCCATGTAATTGTAACCCCTCTGGTACAGTATTTTCACAATTAAAAAAAAAAAAAGCTGGAAGAGGAGCTGTGGCTCAAGTTGTACAGCATTAGACTTAAGCCCCAAGTTAAAGTCCCAATATGGGCACATGTATGCACACACGCATTTGTGTGCACACACATACTCAAAGATGGGAAAGCTATAAAAAACATCCCTAAGGAAATCTCATTTCATTTTTCCTTCTAGTTTTTAGGGTTCTGGTATATTTTTGGTAGTACTTCCAGCCCTGAAAAAATTGCACTTTAATCACCAGCTAGTATCACAGGAAGATAATAAGCTAGGAAGGGAAATAGTCTGCAGATCAACACGAGGAAGCCAATTCACCTTTGTGTGTGTGTGTGTGTGTATGTGTGCTGGTACTGGTACTGGTGGTGAACTCAAGGTCTCTAGCCTTTTGTTGGCTAATAGGAGATAAAAGCCTCAGATGTAGAAGTGTCACTGTGGCGCAAAGTGGTAGAGCACTATCCTTGAGCAAAAGAGCTCATGAACAATGCCCAGAACCTGAGTTCAAGCCCCACAGCCAAAAAAAAAAAAAAAAAAAAGCCAGAGATTTGTCTGCCTGCAATCCGCTTCAAATGGAGATCCTCAGATTTCAGTTTTGTGAGGAGCTAGGATTACAGATGTGAGTCATGGATACTCAACTCCAACACACTCTTTTAAATTAAGATTCTACCAGCTTAAAATTCCAATTTTCACAGCATGTAGAGGATGCTTGATTTGGCCAGTAAGAATGAGAGCTATAGATGAGATAGGCAGAAATCTATTTCTTCTGAACAGTGCTGCTCACACCTCTGACTTTGTTGCTAAGATGAACTCAACCTAAAGGGAAGCCAGTGCCACATAAACTTGAAAACAAGTTTTATTTGGGAAGAATTCTAGTTGTTAAAGTTGCAGGCAAAATCTTTTCAAAATTATAGTTCTAAAGACTCGTAGTTTCAGAGATTCCCAAACCCTTCACCAAAAAGAAACAGCTTTTAATTGATGGATTTGGAATGTACAGCCACTGATTTCAGCTATTCTCAGAAATAGGCTCACCACCTACATGGCAATCAGGTGGGATGGAGTCAATGGCCACACAAGGAAATATCTTTTAGTTAGTTAGCTGCTTGGACAAGACAATTCACTCCTTAGAAAACACATCAGGGTAACAAGTCCCACCTGACAGGGATGTGGTACAGCACCAGTTTCACAGGGAGTTCATGGGACCCTAGGGGTCAGCAGCTGATGGCTTAATGGCACACAAAGTAAGAGCCATCATTGGAATTGGGGAGGGAATTGCTGAAGGGCAGGGGGTCTCCCTCAGTCCTATTTTTTAACCTGCTGAAAGTAGGCAGCTTTTTCAGTATCTTT